TCGTATCTGTGTGTTCCAGTGGCGTGACTGACCTCAAAGATCAGGAAGTGGATTTGCCACCCAGCCTCCCTTTTCACACCAGAGAGAAGATGCAAGTAACTCAGCAGCCCCAGGATGGAGGGCTTCTCTCTTCTGGATACGATCCTCACTTTCTTCTCTGGGTTGGGACCATTTTGCCAATGTAGATATAACCACTGCATTTCTCTTGTTTCTGAGATGGGAGACAGAAAAGTGGGGGCATCCCATAACCAGTTCCCTGCTTATAATCTGTCCTTCACATTTGATCTTTTTGTGCCCTAGTGATCATTTCTGCAAAGCACAGCACTGGTGGTCTTTTTTCCCCCCTACTCAAAATCTACCAATGGTTTCTTTTATAGAAGGGAGTCTAAATTTCTTAGTCTAGTGTTCTCATGACCCATCTTTCCTGTTCCCTCCCAAACTGCTGTTTTTCTGCACCTTTGCTCATAGTGTCCACCAAGTATCATCTCCTTGGCTTATTCCTTCTATCCACCCTTCCTGATTTATCCAAGAGCCTCTGTTTTCTACTCTGTTAGATGGGATGATAATAGAACTTGTTGAATTGTTCTATTGATCAAGTGACATAAGACATATGAAATAGACCAAGCCCAGAGCAAGCACTCAATAAAAGAATGTGGTTGTCATTTCTGCAACTGCTTGGAGCCCAGCGATCAGAGAGGGAGAGTAGAATCCTGCAGGCAGTCACACTGGTGACCTTAAGAAGAGGTGAGCTCTGACACTGAGGGTGAAAGAGAAAAAACCAGAAAGGGAGAATGTAGATGGAGAGAGCAGGGATTTAACATGTCGAGAAAGAGGCACATCCACTGCAGGGGCCCATGAGCATGACACATTTCTAAGTAGAAAAGCATATGATTGACATTAGGGTGCTGGCTGTGTTGCCTCAGTTTCCTGAAATCAAACCCAAACTAAAACTAACGAAGTGAGCTCTGGTCTCATCTTCTATGAGGGCTTTCTGGGCTATTTCATTAAGACTTGGAGCAGCCTTTCTCTGGGTGCATATCTCAATTTCCCTAGAGATCCTGCCTGTGCTTCTCATGGTGTGGCTTATGTGTCGCACTGATCAGCCTCTAACTGTCTGTGTGGGTTCCAAACACTGTTTTTATTATGAGAAAACATACATAATATAAAATCTACCATCTTCACCATTTTTAAGTGTACAGTTCAGTGACAAGAAGTATATTCAGGGCCTCCCCGGTGGCGCAGTGTTTGAGCGCTGGGTTGCGAAGCTGCCCGCGGCCTCTGCGGCGCCGGTTCGATCCCCGGCTGCTCCCAGGCCACCGGAGGAGGGTCCCACATGGCGTGCAGACTTCTCCTGCCGCCCGCTGCTCCCCTCAGCAGTGTACTTCAGTCCTTCTGCCTGCTCTGCTCCCTGCTCTGGCTCTGGTGAATTCTCTCACCCTCCCGCGCTTCTGACTGTACCCAGTGCATGTATAAACAAAACAAACAAACCAGCAAACAAATAAATAAAGCATGCCTCTATAAAAAAAAAAAAAAAAAAAAAAAAAAGAAGTATATTCAAGTGTTGTACACCACCATACACCTGCAGAGCCTTTTCATTTACCTACACTGAAACTGTACCTGTTAAAAATTAAGCTCCCAATACAACCAGTTAATCTATGATAAAGGAGCCAAGAGTAAACATTGGGGAAAGTCTCTTTAATAATGGTGTTAGGAAAATGGACAGCCACATGCAAAAGAGTAAAACTAGTCCACTGTCTCATATCATTAACCCAAATGGATTAACAAGTTGGATGTAAGACCTGAAATCATAAAATACATAGAAGAAACCCTAGGCAAAACACTCCACAACATTGGCATCAGGGATATCTTTGGGGACTTGACTCCAACAGCCAGGAAAACAAAAGCAAAAATAACTGCATGTAATTACATCAAGCTGAAAGCTTCTGTACAGTGAAAGAAAGTATCACTAAAATTAAGACACCCTACTGAATGGGAGAAAATATTTGCGCATCATACATCTGACAAGATCTACAAAGAACTCATTCAACATCCCCTCTCCAAAGGCCTAATCAAAAAATAGGTAGAAGATCTAACTAGGCATTTCTCCAAAGAAATCATACAGATGGCCAACAGACACATGAAAAATGTTCATCATCATTTATCATCAGGAAAATACAAATCAAAACCCCAATAAGATATCATCTCATACCTTTGAGAATGGCCCTTATCAAAAAGACTAGAAACAACAATTGTTGGTGAGGGTGCAGAGAAAAAGGAACCCTCGTCCACTATTGGAGGGAATGTAGCCTGGTCCAGCCCCAGTGGAAAATATTATAGAGGTTTTCCAAAGTATTAAAAATAGACCTGCCATGTGAATTACATTTCTAGGTATCTACCTGAAGAATGCAAACACACTAATTCAGAGGGATACATGCACTCCTGTGTTTGTTGCAGCAGTATTTACAATAGACAAGTTATGGAAATAACTTAAGTGCCCTAAGACAGATGGGTGAATTAAGATGTGCAATGGAATATAACACAGCTCTAAAAAAAGATGACCTCTTGCCTTTTGAAACAACATTGATAGAACTGGAGGAGAATATAATAAGCAAAATGAGTCAGAAGGGGGAGGAAAAATACTGGATAGTTTCATTTACACGTGGAACATAGAGACACAAAATAAAGGGTCAAGCAAAAACAAACCAAAAATGTACCTTAGAAATCTGACTGTCTACAGTCAGATTGAGGTTTCCAGGTGGGGAGGGAAAATTGGGAGTGTAAAGAGCAAAGTGGGGAGGGGGCACAATTGTCCGTGATGGTGGACTGTGGGTGCCTTGGTGGTGGGTGTGGTGTGGTAACATACATCTGAAGAGGTGTGACCCTATACCTCTGCATCATAGAGAGTGTTGTGAACCAATCTTACCTCAAAGCAATAAAAATAAAACGAGCCTCTCTAGTGGCGCAGGGGGTTAAGACACAACCTATGAAGCTAGCAGCAGCCATTGCAGCACGAGTTCAATCCCCAGCCAGGGAGCTACCCACATGGTGCAGTAGACCTCTCCTGTCTCGCCTGCTGCTCCCCTCAGCAGTGTATTTCAGTCAGTCTGCCTGTTCTGTTCCCCACTCTGTCTCTGGTGAATCCTCTCACCCCCCACAACTCTGGCCTGTACCCCAGTTCTTGTATGCATAAATAAATAAATTTTTTTAAAAAATAAAATAAAAATAAGACAAACACAACAAAAATAAGCCTCCATTTCCTCCTTCCCGAGCCCCTTTTAACCACCATCCTTCTTTCTGTCTCCGAATTTGACCACTCATATAAGAGGAAACATGCAGTATTTGCCCTTCTGTGTCTGGCCTATTTCATTCATGTCTTCAGAGGCATCCTTGTAGCGTATGTCAGAATTGCCTTCCTTTTGAAGGCTGAATAATAGCGATTATGTGTCTATACCACTTTTTGTTTATCATTCATTTATTGATGGACACTTGGGTTATTTCCACGTTGGCTGCTGTGTGTAAATGCTGCTGTGGAGGGGGTGTGTAAATATCTATTCGAGTTCCCGTTTTCATTTCTCTAGGAAATCTACCCAGAAGTGGAATTGCTGGGTCGGATGCTAGTTCTGTGTTTAATTTTTTTGAGGAACCACCATAAATTGCTCCACCAGCAGTGCCCATGTTTCCAGTTGCTCAACATACTCACCTATACATGTTCTTTTCTGGTTTTATCTTCCATGTATTTATTTATTTTTTATAACAATCATTGGAATGGTGTGAGGTATCTGTGGTTTGGGCTTGCGCTTCCCTAGTGATTAATGATGTGAAGCATTTTTTTCATGTACTTATTGGCCGTTTGTATATCTTCTTTGGAGAATTGTCCTTTGCCCAGTTTTTAATGCAGTTGTTTGTTTTTTGGTTTTGCTGAATCTAAACTTTTTTGATGTCCAGGGAAACCGCAGATCCTACTTTTTCAGCTGTTTGGTGGTGACAGTAACAACAGCAGCTCGTTTTTATTGAGCACTTGCATCACCCGTGCACTATGCTAAGTGTTTATGTGGCTTTTCCCTCCTTTCATCCTCATGACCACCTTTTGAGAAAGAGACTTCTTTCTCCATCTTGCACCTGAAGAAATGGAAGCTGAAGGCCTTGCCCTTTGCATCATAGCTCTTAAGAATGAAGCAACAGCGGCTCCACACGGCTTCCATCTGTCCCTAGATGATAGTACTGATTTTCTAGCCCCCTCCCAAAGGGGCTGGCATTGAACTCTCTTCCTAAGTCAATACTTCATCCATATGTATGGGAGCAGAAGTGACATTTTATAGGAAACCACCCAGACGTTGGAGCCTCGGTGCCTCTGGAAAACCATATTTACTTCTATATAGTCAGTTCCTAAAATCCCAGAGGTCTTGCATCTGAAAGGAAGCGCAGATATGTGTGACATTAAGTGCCAAGCCTTCTGTTCCAAAAAGCTTTCGAAATGGAGAGATGTAATACCTTCCCTGAGGACCCAAGTCCCTGCTTAAACTCACTCGCTGGTGGCTGCAGTATTGCTCTGAGGGTCCAGTCCTTTCTTCACTTGTAACAGCTTTGTGACCCCCAGGCCCTTTTCATCTGAAGATGCTCTGTCCCTTCACCCGCCGTCTGTCCAGGTTTTGGTTGGCAAGGGCAGAGTGAAGGCAGGGGACCCTCGTCTTGCACTTTTGGAGGTGCATCCATCCCTGGATGGGTCCAACACTGTAGCTCTTTGGGGCGCATTCTCTATTCGTTTCATGTTGGTTTTTATCTGGCCTTGGGTTCACACAGCTGGGGCTGGGGCCGGGGCCATCGCCGTGACTTAGGGTTGGGAAGAAGTTGGCGGAACATTCCCCAGCAGGCCTTGGGCAGGCCAGGGAGTCCCGCCTAAAATACGGTGGACAAAGGAGCTCTTGTCCACAGGCCTGGGGGTGGGAGGCATCTGGTCAGTGACACAGGCTTGGCCATTGTATGTCGTGACCTCAGCCAACTTTTTTAGCTGAGAAAGGGGAAAAAGAGAGAGTGGAAAAAAAAAAAGCCTTCAGAAGCTTCGCATCTGGAAAGTCCAGAACGCGTTGTTGATTTCCCCACGAGGGCTGGAGCAGATTTGGAAGGAACTGTGCAATGTAGTGGCTTCTTTGTGAAAGAACGGCAATGAGAAAAGCCACAGGAACATCCTCCGGGGTACCCAGAGCACTGACCCTGGGGGAGCGGCTTGCCTCGGCCTCATTTCCCGCAGAGGGGGCCATGGAGAGGAAGCTGGCAGGGGCCTGGCCCTGAGTCTGGGGACTTCACACAGGACTCAAGGCTCTGCTGTGAGTTAGTGGCCCCCAAAGAAGAGTCGCTCTTGTCTGATGGTAAGCGTTGCTTCTGCTCGCCTGCAGATAAGTGGGCCGCTTGCTTTCTCTGCCTGTTGCTAAGATGACTTTGACATTTTAAAGAGGTATTTCCGAGAACCCTCTGAGATGTGGGTACTAACTGCTGGACTTAGAAGGTCTGGGGACCCCGTGTGCTGGGTGGAGGGCCCAAGCCATGAGCAAGAGAGAAAAGATTTCTGTGTTCAGAAATCAGGAGAAGAGGAAGAGAAGTGACAAGGGGAGAGATTTTCAAAGGGATTTTTGTGGAGGGAAGGGCCGTCTTGATTCCTCGGGGAGCAGTTTAGTTGGGGTGTGTGACTGTTGCCAGTCGGAGAACAGTGGTGACAGAGACCCCACTGTGGGGACTGGAGTTCAAATGTTGCCTCCCTCTTGAACTTCTGTCAAATGCGAAATTTGGCTTTTACCTTCTCCCCATGGCCTAGTTTTAGTGGGAACACCATTAGGGGAAAGTGCCGGGTGACAGCCCCCAGAGGCTAGCTTAGTGTCTGTCCAGTGACCTAGCATCTGCACTGCGGGCTCACTGGGCTAGCATGTCTGTTCAGTTTGGTGGTGGCGGCAGCAATAAAGATGGTGGATGCTCTCCAGAGATTTAGGGGTAGAACCCTTCTCTTTCATCAATGTCTCTCCCTCTAGAAGTTAGATACCCTCCTTCTTTAGAAAGAGACTCTCGGGCCTCCCTGGTGGTGCAGCAGGTTGAGCGCAGCGCTCTGAAGCTGTCTACAGCCTCTGCAGCACTGGTTCAATCCCGGCCAGCCAGCCGGCGAGATACCCACATGGTGCTGCAGACCTCTCCTGTCTCGCCCACTGCTCCCCTCAGCAGTGTATTTCAGTCAGTCTGCCTGTTCTGTTCCCCGTTCTGTCTCTGGTGAATCCTCTCACCCTCCCGCACCTCTGGCCTCTACCCAAGTTCTTGTATGTGTAAATAAATAAATCTTAGAAAAAAAGAAAGAGAGAGAGAGAGAGAGAGAGAAAGAAAGAAAGAAACCTCTCATCAGCCAAGACATTCATGGCCTCTGTCTTTGAGGCTCTGGACAGCCGAGGAAGATCCAGCTGATAGGAAAAAGCTCATCTGCCCATATCATTCCTCCAGGACACTCTCCCACGGTCTGGGCCAGCTGGCATCTCGGATTTTGGGGTGGCCGCTAATAAGGGCCTGGACCTGTGCCGAGAGGAGAGAGACAGTGCTTATTGTCCAGAGCACCTCTTGATGTGCCAGCTGAACTCCTAGGGAGTTCTTTGTGAACTTCCTCAAAGGTGAGGGTGCATGTCAATTGCTTAGGCCCCTGGCTCCAGGGCCAAGACTCTGCATTGCTAACCGGCTCCCCAAGGACACCTGTGCAGGGTGATGTAGGGAACACACTTGAAGAGAGACTTCTGTAAAGAACCCAGACCCATCAATCAAGTTCTGACAGAGGTAGAGCAGCCTGGGACCTGCTGCAGAGAGCTGGGGGTTCTGGCAGGTCTGGGCCTGACCGGGTTGTGGTGGCATGTTTGTGGGAAAGAAGGGATCAGCAAAGAAGGTGAACACTAAGGTGAATTCACGGAACAGGGAAGAGCCTAAGTAAAGCTCATGGCAGAGTGGGTAAGGCAGAGCCTGAGACATGTGGGGTGTGGACCACCTGTGCCATGTGCTCCAGCCGAAGTGGACAGAGTGTTCAGCATCAGGATGAGTGGGGAGCAGGAGTGCTAACCACCAGCCAGCATAGAACAATAGCACTGGGCCTGCCTTCATACGGCGTGAAGCCTCGCTTCAGATTCAGGGAAGCCTAGGATGTCAGGGCAGAAATCAGTTGCTAGGCAAATAGAACTCAGCGGGTGTGGCTCCGAATGAGAGAGAAGGGGTGGGTGGGCTCAGGTCCATCAGGACAGGCCTCACTGTGGTAAGGTGTAGAAACACCAAGTGGCAATGCTGCCAGGTGCTTGGGGCAGCTTTTCAGGGGCAGTGTGATACCTCTGAATCCAGTGTCCACACTTGAATGTGACTTTCTACCTCCCACAACAACAGCATGTCCATAAAGCAGATATACTGATATTAGCATCCAGAATCATTGAGTACTAGGCCACACACACACACACACACACACACACACACACACACACACACACACACACACACACACACACCCCCTTGAAGACCATCTGGTCCAACTTCCATGGTTTTTGACATGAGGAAATTGAGGCCAAGCAGCAGAGATGAAGCAAGTTGCTGAAGATCTGCAGGATGCAAGACAGAGGCAGCTTTGGGCCTGGCACTCGGGGCTCCCAATTCACATCCCATGTTTTTTGTGTGGTACCACAGAGCTGTGGTAGGTCTCAAATCGCCGCAATAATATCCTCAGCTGTCACCATTTGTCTAGTTTTATATGCACCAGTAGTGGAGGCTCCAGAAATGTCAGTTTGGAACCGACTGGCGGAAACTCTTCCAGCCCCTGTTAGCCTTGATCTCCCTCAGGTGCTCAGGGTTCAGAACCAATTAGGTCTCACTGGGAGCCGCCTCTCCGAGTCAGAAGTCTTTGATTGGCATCATTTAGAGCTCAGACCATCAGCACTGCTGAGTTACCGGAATGAGTTTCCATGGTGAGAAATTTTCTTTTGGTGCCCATGGACCTGCAGCTAGTAGTCACCAGGCTGCACCTGCTGGATGGCAGCCAGAGTCAGGCCCTCAGAGACGCCCACCTTGGTGCCATAGTGAGCTCTTTACAATGGCACCCAGGGAAGCCTGCTTTCTTCCCTGGAGGATCTGTGGGCAGTGGCTATATCACTTGCCCTTGAAGTTCCTTTCTGGTGGCAGGCTGCTTTGCATGAGGTTGTGAGCGGGTGACTGGCTGAGCTAGCAACTTTCAACTCCCTTCCGAACTTCCTAAGTCCAGTTGGAATGGAACAGAATGCCTGGTAAATTTGGCTATGGGGTTGTCTTCAGAGCAATAACAACTTTAGAAAGTGCCGGAAACAATGGCATAAGGTGTTTGGAGGTTTTGTGGCTTAATACTAAAAGAAGGCTGGGGAAGAGCCTCACTAGTATTTCTTCCCACCTACTCTTTGTCTCAATATTAAGTGTTGGCAAAACTTTCTTCTTCCCAGGATTTCTCTGCAGAGGTAAGTTTGACCAGGAATCATCTAGAAGAGGCTCCACCTGCCTGGAGCTCTCTAGAGAAAGTGTTATTGATGAACAACCCTCACCGTGTCTGTCACAAGTATCTTCTGAAACAGGATCACTAAAACTGTTAGGTAATAGAGATAAGCAAGGGGGGGCCTCCCTGGTGGCGTCAGCACTGTGACGCAATTGCAGCACAAGTTCAATCCCCTGCCAGGGAGGTGACCCACATGGCTCAGCAACCTCTCCTGTCTCACCCGCTGCTCCTCTCAGAAGTGTGTTTCAGTGGATCCACCTGTTCTGCTCCCCATTCTGTCTCTGATGAATCCTCTCACCCCCCACACCTCTGGCCTATATCTCAGCTCTTGTGTGCATAAATAAATGAATCTCAAAAAAAAAAGGAAAAGGAAAAATGCTAGCAAAGAAAATCTAGGCTGCATTTTGAGATCCTTCAGGACTGTGAGAAGTGCTGACCTCCACCTAATTCCTTTCTTCGACAAATAGGGACATTTTAGCCTTCGCTGTAGCAAAGCGAACACGGGTTTAGTAGAGGTGGGTATTAAGTGTACAGGCTTGAAAGGTAATGCCCACAATTTAATATCCTGGTTTGTGCCTACATGATTTCCGACTTTCGTTAACTCACTTTACTGATGTCTCTGCATTTCTTACCCGTCAATTCTAAGTTGGATTTAGTTGAACAAATGAACCAGTATCTAGACCAAAAGAGTTTGTGACCTCTTCCAGACCTCAGAAGAGTGAGGTGGAAATATGCAACTGAAAGAAAAGCACTGTTTCATGAACATTTACGCTCCTTGTCAGGAGGTCACTGTCATCTCCTTTGTTTATGCGGCTGCTGCTTTTACAAGCTTGCACTGGTCATTTAAATGCCTTGAAATTTCCCTTGTGGTGATGTTGCACCATTCCAGAAGATGTTCCTCAGGTCATAGAAGCCTGCATTCGAGGGCTGGCAGCCCACATTTTACAGATCAGTAAGTTGAGACCCAGAGGGGCAAAGGGAACTGTGTAAATTACAGTTTGCCTGGGAATACGGTCGCTTTATGCCTAGGCTTGAGTGCTTTTTGCTAATGCGTCAGTCCCCAAGTGGAGGCAGACTATCAGAATGGCCATGCTATTTTTATCTGCCAGGGAAGGGTTTGGAGGAAAGGAGCTTGCATTCCTCAGCCTCAGCTGGGAGTTGAAATAAAATGCCTGTTCATCAGAAGTTGGTGAACAGAATCCCTCAGGTATCCCTCAGGTATCTAAGCCCTGCACAGAAGCTAGAAGCCGGAATCGGTTGCTGGGAACCATCCCCTTTATGGTTTTGAAGCATCAGGATCATACCTTAGAAATGGGACACAGCTTGTGGGCTTTCTCTGGAGTCCCCAAATCCCAGCAGCTGCTGCTTCCCTTACTCCCCACTTTGCTGTCTGTGTTTCCAGAGCACCTGTGTGAACCTCTTCCCTGAATGGCCATAAACACAGCCATGAGGCTTGTGGGCTGTAACATATTCTGTGGCACAATTATACTGTTTGGTTAATGCTTAGATTCTCCCAAGAGATGCAGAGGAGTTGGCATCTCTCAGATCCCTGACATCCTTATGGCGTCACTGAGCAGATGTCGCCAGCCACCGTCTCAGATAGAAGTGTGCTAACATCGAGAGCTCCTTGTTCCTTCATTTTCTGCTTTGGAATCCTATTAATTAGCCCTTCTATCTCATATCTGTATGGCAGGTGCTAAGATAATAAAAGTTCTCCCTCTGGGGTCGCTGAAGTCAAGTCTCATGCAGGAATGTGTGCAAGGCTTGTAGAAGTACTTCCTGCGTGATTGATTCCTTCCGACCCTCGACTGCTTGACCCCAGACACTTCAAGGCCACTGCAAGGTCAG